TAACACCAAATACCGTCTGAAGTTCAAGTCCAAACACGAATATCTCATCACTCTTTCCGAAAAAGACTGGAAAACCGACATCAAGACTGCTCTCCATCAAACTATAGCCCCCAATCAACGATACTACATTCTGACTGACAATCCCGATATCCAAAAATATATTTCCGACTTCGTCCGTAATACTTATAACCAAAACATCCAAATATTCTTCTGCACCAAACAAGTTCAAGATGTAGAGAGACCCGAAGACCAATTACGACATCTCCAAAATTACCATAAGGAAAATCACAATGGTATTCTCGAAACACTTAGTCATTTAAAATTACACTATTACTGGCCTAATATGCGTTCTACAATTTCAGAGCATATTAACCACTGCGATATTTGTCTTCGTAATAAATACGAGAGACACCCATATAAATTACCCCTAAAAGGTCCACTTCTAGGACAAAAGCCTTTCGACATCCTTCATATTGACACATTTTCCTGTAATCGAGAAACTTTCCTCACAATCATCGACTCTTTTTCCAAGTATGCCCAAGTGTACAGTATACCTGACAAAATGAATACCACAATCCTTAGCAAATTACGTCACTATTTCTCCCACCATAATTATCCTCGAAAAATAGTCTGCGATGAAGGTACCGAATTTTCAAATAACCTCTTCAAAGAATTTTTAAATCTTCACAAAATCGAGCTACACTTTACGACAGTGAACAACCCGAATTCCAATAGTCCTATCGAAAGATTTCACTCTACTTTTACAGAAAAGCTCCGTGTTATGCACGACGAACGCCCCAAAGAATATTTTACTGATCTCGTTACACATTGTGTTTTAATTTACAATCAGTCCATCCATTCCGCCACAGGTTATTCACCTTTTTCTATCTTATATGGCCCATATGCAGAAGAAATACTTTTTGACAATGACTTACCTATCTACGAAAAATATAACCAACGACATAAAGACGAACTTCGACCTTTCATTGACTCTCTTTATCGAAAACTCCACGATAAAGAAACAGCAATTTTAAATAAACGCAATGAAAGACTACCCGAGATCACTCCTGCTCCAGCACCTGGCCAAACCATATATATTCAGAAAAATCCCCGAAATAAATTATCTGCACCTTACGTATCAGCCGAAACTACTTCTAGTAGCAATACCAAAATTCAGGCCGTTACTTCCAAAAATAGACCCACCAATACCCATCCTAGAAAAATCAAACGTCTAAGGAAAATACCCTTGTTACAGGATCGTCATCCTGACGAACCACAACCTGGCCCTTCAAGTGCACCTGATCCCGAATAATGGATACTATCGTGAACTGATAGGCCATGCTCAAGAGTTAAATCACTATCACCGACATATTATTACTGTTAACCTAACTGCTATCGACGCAACGCTTAAAATGACTCTAACTAACTTCCTATTCCTTAACAAGACTCTCACTACTTCCAACTACCGAATATTTGAACAATATAACCATCTCTATTCCGAGACACTTGACAATTTTCATAAAATAATCCGACCCCGTCAAAGGCGAGGAATTGCTAACTTTTTGGGAACTTTTATTAAATCAGTGACTGGCAACCTTGACGAAAACGATCGTATATTTTTGGAAAGGCACATCTTCAGTATCGAAAATAAACAAAATCGTATAATCAATGTGCTTAATAATTCGACAAGTTATGCATCAGAAACAATAAAAAGATATAATATTCTGATTGAAACCATAAATAATAATACAGTGAGAATCACACAAGATATTAATTTTCTTAGAGATGAATTCCAGCAGTTTATTACTCTTCAAAGCGAAATTCGTAATATTGATCGTTTGAATCAATTCATTTTAAAGCTTATTAGAAGTATAAATCTATCTGCACTAGAACAACCGAACATAGAATTATTTTCACTTTTCGAAATCACTGACTTAGAAGAAAAGCTAAAATCTTTATATAAATCAAATTCTCTTTTATCAGATAATTCACATCCCTTTGAACTTATCGAAAATTCACGTTGTTCATTAATTACCACAAATACTCAGTTACTCATCCTTTTCAAAATCCCGATCCTTAATGATCACTCTTTCCGACTTTACCATATTTATCCCATACATAATGAAGAAAACATTGTACTACTGCCTCCTGCAACTTTCTATGGAGATAATCGCTGGTATTCTACATGCACCGATGTAGGACCAAAAATCGTATGTCAACCCGCTTCCACCACAAGATGTCAGCTTCCCAGCTTAGAAAATTGTACCACTGCCAAGCTTTCCCAGCCTGTCATCCACCAAACAAAGAAAAACCTGATCGTCAGTACAAATGAGCCAATCCAAATCGTTGAAAGATGTTCCCAGACTCACCGAAATATTAGTCAAGCAGCAATTGTTTATTCTTCATGCCCAATCGAAATTAATGGACAGATTTACAGCACTACTTCAGAGCAAATCGAAGTTCCTGATATCATCCCTATAAAGATCCGCCCAAAGTTTAACTTACAGATCAACGAGTTGCAGCCACTCAAAGATGTACCACAGCTATCGGCCATACAGCCCTTACATCTAAGCCCTACAGTGACGTCTACAACAACTTGGTCCATGGCAACCCTAATGCTCATCATCGTCACAGCGAGCATTTACTTCGTCTTAAGAAAAAGAAGAAGACTCCAGACGCTTTTCTTCAAGCCGAAAATTTCCATTGCCGACTTGGAAAACCTAAAACTTCAAAAGTCCGAGGACGGACTTTCAGCTTAGCGAGGGAGGCGTTATAGGTCAAGAACCCGAGGCGTCAGCAAGACGACACCGCCAGTCGCAACGACAGCAGAAACCTTTATTAAAACTATTTTTCTTTTTATATTTTAATTCATTATCATTCCAACTTGTAACACGTTCATGTCTACAAAATAAATATTTTTTAAAAACTCCTTGTTGTGGCTGAGAAACATAATTAGCAGAACAACTATAGCGTGTTTCCACTGATCTGGAAAACAATATCCCTCTCTAAACAGCTGTCGATTATACACCTATGTGTATATAATTACACTGGTGAACAAAATTTTCTGTGACATGGACAAAAGAAGGTGGTTATTATGTAAAACGTACCCAAAAAGCCGGAAATAGCATTCGATTTTTGCTATTACCCACGGTTTTCTTGCAATAAGGAATTTTATAAGAGTACTAATAAACACTCGAATAAACATTAATCTCATAATGTTGTTGTCGATGTTGTACGGCGATATGTTGCTCCTGAGGTAACACTTAACAATGGTCAGCAATATTCAGCAAGCTAATTGCCACACTCCATTTGCCTTGATACCGTTTTTCTATAGCAGAAATGCCTTGGTGGAGTCGTTCACGATGTTCCTCACTTACCGCCCCTAAATTTTCCGGAAAAAATCGAGATGAAAATCCAAAAAGTGAATTTTTAGAGACATGTTTAATCCCATTCCTTTATAAGCATTAATTAGTTCACTCAGATATTGTTATCTGCATAATTGTCCGCTTTCACATTGACTAAAAAATTTGCGGTGACTGATTTAAAAGCATTCCAAGCTCGTAATTCATTTTCATTAAGAGCACTGTCAAATACATCATCCTTCATGATTCTCCATAACGATTTTTGCAAAATTCATACTCGTACTATATGCGCACATAGTTGGCTGCATCGCTATCTATGACAAGAATATTTTCAAAGCAGATTCATAATTATCACCGAGAGAAAAAACAAAGTTGTGACAAGTTGTCTTAGACGACGCCACTTGATGTCGGATAATTCTTTGGACACCAAATACAGTAGATTTTTTTTTACATACTCCAACTACCACGAAGGCCTAAGGCCTAAGCACCCATTGGGTACCGTGGGGCTATAGGGGGATACATGGGAAAGGGGGGGACGCCACACGGACTCTGGCGAGGGAACACGTGTGCATGCAACATGCACACATTCTGGCTCCGCCTACGAAAACCGCCGGGTGGTACCTCCGCGTTCGGCAGTCAGAGACCATCTACCACCTACGGACAATCACAACATCCATAGCCAAGAGAAAAATTTCTCCTGGGCCGGGACTCGAACCCGCACAGCGCACGGCGACTGATCAGGAGACCGCAGACTCTACTACTGCGGCCACCGCTGCTGCCTAGATGATTACCTAGTTTCAGGTAGAACACGTTAACCAACGGTATTAGTTATCGGTGCCTTGAGTTAGCCCTTTGTGATAGTTTTCTCTCACATCGAAATCAATGATCAAATAGCACCGAACATGTATAGACGTCCACTAAGCATGCAACGAAATACAATTTTTCTATTCGGTTACACCTTGTTCCAAAAGCTCCAAAGACTAGGTCTAACAAATTAGCTGTGATATGATGCCTTGATGCCTGTAGACTCCTTGAGAAGCTTTGCAGATGGGTGGCTGACTTCCTCTGTGGTCGTAGGATGTCAATCTCAACAAGCTGTTAAATGCTTCCAAAACAGTACTGTACCTTGACCAACAAGAAGGTCAGGGTAGCTATACTAATATTGAAACGAGGAGCTCAAATAGTGACCTTGAACTTGATCTTGATAATTACTGCTTCCTACAACCTAAAACCCACCTCTGAAATGTCAAAGAAACGAAGTTTCAGCGATTTTTATTGCCTTCCTCTTTTCCCGCAGCTCCACTGTCAGTGGATCGATTTCCAAGTATGTAAAGCCTTTTCCTTTTTGGCATGGTAGTAGCCTTACGTGAAAATTTCATTTAAATGAGCTCAGTACTTTCTAAGTTATAGATGGGCCATTGATTCGCGGACAGACCTAGACACAGGAAGACAGATCGACGGAAATGAGATGCTTTTGCATTACACCAAAACCTATATAATATATCATTATCGACATTTTTCGCGATTACAATGCTTCCTTGGCAGTAGGCTTGATAAGTAAAATCTTTGTCTTGTAAAATCGGTCTATAAAATGGTTTTCTGAAAATTTTCTTCTAATTGGTGACTGTCTAATTTCAGGTTTCACTGCATGCTCCTCACGTTTTACCCCAATTAAAAAAACAGTTCTTTCAAGTATCATTCGGTGATGCTATTATGGCTGCTGTGCAGCCAAAAATGACAAAAACCTCTCAACAAGTGAGAAAGTACCATCCTGACAAAAGAGAATGCTATTTCAGTAACGAAAAGCATCTAAGATACTTCAAGCAGTACACGTCAAGTAACTGTCGCCTAGAATGTTACACAAACTATACGTCAATGTCATGTGGATGTGTACAGTTCTACATGCCCAGTAAGTAGTAAATGAATTCTGAATTTTAAACTAAAAATTATCATCAAAAGGTAAGACTATATACTTTAGCGTATCTCGCAAATACTTCATTTCTTACTTTAAAATGAAAGATTAGGATGGTAAATATTTAAAATGCATATCGTAGTACCCTCGTAGTAGTATCCAACCGCCACGATTTCAAAGCGCGCACGCAGAGAGGGAAGGCCGCATCGCTCCCCTTCCCCCTAGCCTTCACCCCTCAGACCGCCAATAAACCTTCATTCCTTGTTCTCGTGCCGGACGCTAATCGGCGGGCCTCGTTTACGTGCTACGTGCAGTGCAGTGTCAAGGATCCGCTGAACATTTAGAATTAGAAAACAGGACAGAAGGTAGATGTGCATTATCGAACGAGGTACCGACCGACGGTCGCCTGAACGTTCCTTTCGTCGCCGACCAGAATCAGAAAGTGGCGTGCAGGCCTCTTTTTCTGCAGAGCCGTCACCATCAGGTAACTGTCAACTAACCGATCTATTTTAGGTGCAATTTCAGTGAATATTAGTATGGATGCCTCACCGGCGCTGCAACGTTCTGACACTGTTGCTTGGGATAGCAACCTGGACCTAGCTTGTGATAGCCAACTTCATACCTAGGACGAACAAAGACGTTTGGGATAACGCTGAAACATTGGACTTGGTTGCTTGGGATAGCAACGCGGACCTGGCTTGGGATAGTCAGCTCCATACCAAGGATGAACGGAGATATTTGGGATAACGTTGTAACATTTTACTCGGTTGCTTGGGATAGCAACATGGACCTAGCTTGCGATAGTCCACACCAAGGACGAATGAAGATGTTTGGAAAAATGACTCAATACTGAACTTCGTTGCACAAATAACAGCACTGAAAGTGTTTGGGACAACGTAGCAACAAAGTACGGTCAACAATCTTTTCTCATTAGCTTGGGATAGCATTTTTCATCTGGCTTGTGATAACCATGGAACAGGATGGTAAGTTTGAACATGGCAGGCTAGGAGGTTGTTAAGATATATTTTTTCCTTATTACCAGATAGAGATTAGGTATGTTATGCGAGGTGAGCGATACATTTTGCTTGTGATGGCAAATTCCATCCGGTTTGTGATAACACTGGAACAGCATAGCAGGAATGCACAAGACAACTTAGGAAACTGCCGAAGTACCATTTTTCGTTAATAACAAATAGAGATTAGGTTCATATATGCGAGACTAGCGTTACATTTTGTTTTAGTAGTTTGTAATAGCAATGTAGCAATATAGCATTTTTCATTTATAACAGATAAAAATAGGGTACAGCTATGCGAGACTAGCGTTACATTTTGCTTGTGATAGCAAATTCCACGTGGTTTGTGATAACCGTGGAACAGGTGTGTAATTATGAAAAGATCAGGTTATCACCAGATAAATAATAGGCACCTTATGTGAGGTTAGCATTACACTCTGCCTGTGATAGCAAATTTCATTTGGTTTGTGATAACCTTGGGATATCTTTATCAGAATGCACATGACAGTTTAGGAAACCACTAAAGTACCATTTTTCGTTAATAACAGATACAGATTGGGTTTTATCTATGCGAGACAAGCGTTACATTTTGCTTGTGATAGCAAATTCTATATGATTTTGGAATAGCCATCGAACAGATCAATAATATGCACACGACAGGTTACAAGACAGCTGAAGTACTATTTTTCACTAACAAAATATAGAAATTAGGTACATCTATGGTAGACTAGCGTTACATTTTGTATGTCATAGCAAATTCCACATGGCTGGTGATAACTATGGAACAGGACTGTACGTATGAACAACTCCGGTTAGGAAACCATCAAAGTTCTAATGTTCAGTAATAACGAAAGTTGAATATCATTATGCCCGATTAACGTTACATTTTGCATAGGTGGCACTCGAACAGCAGGGCGCTCTGGATTGTGTTCTCTTAAAGGCCATGTAGTCTGTTTCAATAGATGACGCATCACCACGATGATGCGGCGACCTCAGTATAATTAATGTTCGGGCGTTATTCCAAGGCTGACATTTCGAGGGCAGATCTTGTTGATGACGATAGATGAATAAATTCTGTTCTATTCTAGCCACCTAAGGTGAACCCTGAGGTAACGGAAGCCACAATAGAAATTATCGCACGCAGGAATGCGTGCTTGGACTGTGTACAGCAACATGTGAGCTGTTCATTAACTGCAATTGGTAATACTCTATCATCTATGTTTAAAGAAGGGAGAGGAGTGCATGCCTGCAGATATTCACATTAAGGCAAAGGACTCAGGAGTACTCTGACAGAGGCTTCCAGTGATATATTACTCTTCGGTGTAGGTCTGACCAAGTAAGTCAACTCTAAATAGAGATCAGATAAACAGAGCAGCAGCTGAAGGAGAAAAGACCAGACAACGTACTGACAACATCAACCCACTATTGCAGATGAGGTGTGTAGATCAGCATGGACATTAACGCGTACTCATCATCAATGGCAGAGCTTTAGGAATGGCGCTAAAGTCCTGAGTTGGCCTCAAGTGGTCACTTGCCATTCAGATGGCGGCTGATTTAGCACTTTGCCATAGCTGGATCTCATTAGTCCATCTATGAACTGCTTAGCTGCGGTGGTATCAGTAAAAAAGTTGAGCTAACTAAAAATCAGCACCTATTCAACTTTTTCTTGCCCCCTAGTCTCAGGCGTCAACAGGTTTGATTCCTGACCTCAAGACTGTTTGTTTATAGGGATATAACACTTAAGTCTAGGCTATTGAACTGGGATCAGACTTCTCCGTACAGATACTTTCTTAACAAATCTCGATCTGGAATATGCAGGGATTTTGGTACCCGTTAGGGAGAGTGATAGGATACGTATATATTTCAGATTCATATTCAAGGGACAGCTCTTCCAATACAATGCTGTACCGTTTAGGCTAAATTATACCCCTTATATGTTCACAAAGCTAATAAAACCATTTCTGGAATACCTTAAAAAAGTTGAGCACTTTCAAGGTCGGTATTAAATTGTGACAGAAAGAAAGTAACTTTACTTGAGCGGACGATGCAGACATTACTAAACCTAGTAAGGGCAATAATGGACAGCAGCCAAGTCCGAAGCTTTGCGGTGAACATCGGAATCTTGGTGTCTCTCATTTCGTTACAGCCGACTATACACTAATGAGTGAAATTTCTTGCCTTGTAAAGTTCTCAAGGGAATTTTAATGCTACTATGCCACCAACATAATATAACTTAAGGTCTACCTCGGCTGGGGCTCAAAGAAACTGGCAGATGCGGTCAGAGGTACTGAGTTATCGAATTTTTTGTTGTATGATTTCTCGGACTGGGACATTCGTTGGCCAGGGAGGAGTCTCTAGTTTTTGGTCATCCGAGAAGATCCCGCATGCTAATCATCAAGAACAACAAGTAGTTTTTTTCTGTGGTGAATGATTTGCTTCCGAATTGATGGGCTGTCGTATATTATACCACATCCTACATCAATACAATGGAGAGCTTCTGGTTTCCACGTTTGGACCAGGTTGCGGGAAAACTATGGCAATTGTGTAAAGAGAGAAATCTTACTGCCCTCGAGTCAAATATAAAATCTAGGGATAATACTGGTACAGATGAGCTTTTGTGTCAGTGGGACGTGAGACCTGTCACCGTCCTGATTATGGTTCAAGTATTCGGTGTTTCTAAAATGTCACTTCTAGAAGTAACGCAAGGATCTGATGGAGGGACTCAGGACGCCGCTCCCACTAACTCTGAAGCTTACCCTGGTTATTGTCACTGGATAGCTGTCATTCCAATCAACATCGATAATCCATGATGTATTGTGGGCTTAGATTACGGTAGGACCTTTGTCGGGAAGAAATACATGTCTGGTTTCCTACCTTGAAATTTCTTACCTTACAGGTGATAAGTGATCAAGATATAATTGCTTCAGCTATCAGCGTTTTACCAAAAATGTTACTAACGATGCAGACATAAGATGGTTTTTGAAGGGCATTTACTGGCTGAGGCTATCCCAACTGAAGTATAGATACTGTGGTTGTTCTCAACCAACCAACCAACCTCAGGTCAGAGTGTGCAAACTAATTGAAACGGACAACATCCGGATTGGGTTGAATAATACTGCAATTGGGATTTCTCAGCTTTTGAAAGTCTCGGGGTCACTCATGTGGCAACCACTTAAGTTTTACTGTATTTTACTCTCAAATATCTGTCCAAAGTATTTATTTGTCACTGTACAGTAACTTTATCATTGTACCTCGGTTCCCAGATGGATGAAGTCGGTTCTAGCAGAGAGCGTCACAATTGACAACCCACAGTACATGAAATGCCTCTACCTCTCCGCCTGCTCCGTTTTCTGAGATACGTCACAAATCTTGTATGCCAAACGATAACCTTGCTCAAGCGGCATTTGAGTTCGACCAAGTCTCCACGCCTTAAACATAACTATGTTATTACGTTATTTGCTCATTACCATGAAATGGATGGTAAGTTTTGAACCAGGTACGTCATATTACCAGTTGCTGAAAGCTTTAACTTGAACATTGCGTACAATTTGTGTAGTTGTGTACAACCTGTCGTTTACTATTGCAGAGCGTTAGTAGTATGTTGTTGCAACTAGCTTTCAACATCTACGATATGTATTCTAAATATTTCCTTCGACGAGGACGGAACATAATTACATGATCAAACGAACTTGCCTGAAACTGATGTTCAATCCTAATTATCTGAAGTCCTCGTCGAAGTAAATAGCTCCCTCGCTTCCTATGTATCACCCAATTATTGCAACAACTTTGAAGTAAATGAATACAATATTTACTTTGACGAGGACTTCACATAATTATGATCAAACATCACTTTCAGGTAAGTTCGTTTGATCATGTAATACTTTGGAATGGGGTACTTTTTTATACGTTTTCTTTTGCTATTTGCACAAACTGGTGCTCTAAATTATAAGAATATAATATACACTGCATGGTACCAAGGAAAATAGATGTAAAACTGTGAAAAATCGTTGTTTTTTCCAAAAAAAAGGTTCAAAATCAGCCGTGTTATTACACATTAGCTTATCAACTGTGTACAGGTGTTGTGTTGTGAGTTTTCCAAGTATTCTTGAAACTCCTTAACCATTTCTCGTATTTTCAATGAGATCAAAGTTTTTGCGTTTACAAAAAATATTTAAAAGCACAAACAATTCTGAATGGCCATTTATAACCTTCATTTCCTGACAGATAAGATAAATGATGTCCATTGTTGTCTAGTTGTACCTCTTTTTGGGAGAAATACGTGATAAAAAATTAGGTTATTTGCAAAATAAAAGTCTCAATTTATTGTAAATGGCTTGTTTTATGAGAAGTTGACCCAATATTTCCCGAAAACTAAATGAAATTTTGAACAGTATGTGTCTGAACAGTGGAAAATGCACTAGCGGCTCGCGTGACAGAAAACATAAAAGGCACCAGCGGTCATTGCATATAAAAATACCCCACTTCTATTCGTCGATTTGGACCACCTCACTAGGTCCATCCGACATATCATCGTCCAACATTATAGTTATATAAAAATCAACGAACATTTCATCAAATTATCAAGAAACTTGCAACATTCTTTGTTATGTTTTCATTATTTAGTGATTGGCAACATGGCAACAGCTACGTTTTCAGATATTCCTCATATATCAGGGTATATTACTATGCATGATTTGGCAACATAGCAACTAAATGGAGATGGTAGAATAGTGATGGTGGTGGATGGTTGTGTAGTGATGGGACTATATATGAAATAAAAGAAATTACAACTTAACAATGAACTATCTTCATCATCAAGATAATGCAAAATTGCATAATTGCGATGAACAGTGCCACAGTAGTTTACATTGTATGTTATATTCATATAATTTTGAGCAACCTTTTGTGTCAACAAGAAAAAAAACAGCTTATACAGCAGTACTCTATACCACAGTATTACCACCCAAAATTCAACTTTGAAGTTCTATAAAATAGCAAGCAGAGGTTTCCTTAAAGAAAAAATGATATTTTCGTGCAATCTACATACTAATCTTTCATTTTAAAATAAGAAATATAATATTTGCGATATGTGCTAAGGTATAGTTCAGCCCATTAAAATTTTTCATCCGATTGCAAAGACGATTAAAATTCAATTCAATAAATGAAATTATCAACTTTGGGATGGAGGAATACATCCTTCATAGAGTGAAAGTACTCAAGTCTAAAGAGTAGTTCAACAAATTGTGTACATAGAACAGACAAGCCGATGTCTGAATAAACTATATCGACGCAAATCGCAATGTCAAAGACCAGAATGTTGCAAAATTTAGGCACAGGGTAATGTCGCAAAACAGTGGCACTCAGTCTTTCAGGACGCTGGCCAAGCAAATTGGAGGGAACTTCCCAAAGAGTAGCCTTCCACTGCTTACATGCCAAGATGGAACGATCGTAATCGACTAAGTCGGATGTGCTTGCCATGATCTTTGCGGCAAACTCCGCCATGGACGACACTTCCCAATGCTCAAGTGTTCTTGCTCTATACGGGAGGTAAGCTTTAGGTATAGGACAGTAAGACGGATATTCTTGTCGACGGCTTCAACCAGCTTCCGGTCTGGCCATAATCGCTGCCGTTTTACCGAAGAAACATGCAGCGGAGCCTGTTCAGGTTCTTCCAAGTATCTTCCAGATATTTCTTGGATCCGGACTTTGCAGAAAATTGGAAATTTGCTCATGTCCAGCCTGTCCCATAAAAGAATCTAGGACGGACCTTTACAACTACAGACCTATAGCTCTGCTTTCGATGATGGAGAGGTACATAAGTCGGGAGCATCTGGTATATCTTGAGCATCACAGCTCGATTAGCAACAAGCAGTATGGCTTCCATATCCACCGATCATCAGGATGTCTGACGTAATTTCTCGGCACGAGATACTCGTCGTAATTGACAGTTTCACTTCCTGTTCCCACAATGTCAACGCGGGTGGTCTTCAGGGATCCGGATCTTGGCTCTAGTATAGTTTATATTGCATGTCAACGCCCTCCCTTGTTATTCGATCAATCCAATCCACAGCTTTGATGTGAACCATTTCGGCTCGTCTGTGTCCAAACTAAGGATTTGATCTGGCACGAATACATGTCGTCAATCGAGGCAGCTGCTGGGAAAGAGCAAAACTACTTGTTTTGCACTAACTCATAACTTCCGCACGCTCTACAAGGCCCAGATAAGACCTAGCCTTGAGTACTCTGCTCACCTGTTCCAGGAGTTGCTGTCCATGATCGATGCTGTTCACAGGAAGACTATCCGACTGATTGATGACTCTTCTCTTACAGACAGCCTCGGAACACTTTTGCACTGACGAGCCGACGGCGATCTTGATCTATTCAACCACTATCTCAAGGAGGTTTTCTCTCCAGCAGTCTCCTCCATGATGCTGCTGAGCGACAAACCCGCCTGACTTCGGCGTCTTATCCTAGCCGTGTCCAACATCGTACATCTATAACTGTCCTAAATGACTCCCCATTTGAATTTAGAGTGTCGAGATTGTGGAACAATCTGCCTGGGGAGGCTTTTCTCAGGTGTAGGCAGTTCCAAAATCGGGTTTATCGAGGTGTCTCCAAGCTCCTCATAGCAGGCGTGATGTCCCTCTATTTTAGGCTTCTATCTACGCGGCTGCTTCAGTTTAAAGACAAGTAGGAACAGCTTCATTAAAAGCGCTCACGTGACTTTTCAGGGGAATCGTCCACCGATATTTGCGGGTCCGCTTCATTTTTGGTATTCCAACAACCATGTACAGATGCAATGGAATGTAAGTATGGAATGGAGTGAACAGGAACATAGTATTTCTAACATCTGTTTGTAGCTGTGCTTAAACGAAAGGAAGCCCAGCATAGCGCAACTAATCAAAACGGCACGTCTTTCTGTGACTGCAGACGATCTTGTGTGGAGATAAATTATGAAGTGCAGCTCAGCCAGTATACCTGGAATTACAGGGAAAAACACCTAGCTCGCTACAGAAATAAAAAAAACGAATCGTAGGTACCTTTTGCTCATCCGCGTTGTTAGTTTTTTGTCCTGATCGTACACACCACGAAAATACAACCAGATGCCTTGAAAGATGCATAAGGTAAATGTCGGAAGCTTCGTGAGAGTCTATAGATTCCTTAGTTCTTATTGAAACGCGAAAATGATAAAATTCTGATAAGTTTTACAAAAATCAATACGCAATCCTAGTCTCTAATATTTGAAAATCAACGATCTCTGTGAATTGGCAGTCGACTGATGCCGAGAGAGACGAAGATGTCTATAGCTATAAGGCCATTTTCTAAGCTTCCCACAATGATAATTTAGTCAGTTTGATTAAAATATGTTTACATTACTGTTGAAAACGAGTGATGTTTATAGGCAGCTATTTATTTTTAACTTAAAATCTCACGCAATTAGCTTCACATAGCCTTTTTTATGTCCCTACTCCCGAAATACGGTCCATTTCCTGAAATGTATTCTGCTTCATATTTTTTATGCAGATAGTGTGTAATGAAACATAAAACATACATTTAATAAAGAAATTTATGGTGTTTTTTTATATGTGATACTCTTCAAAAAGTTTTTTTTCAAAAATAGTGTGTAGTGAGGATGTTTGCTTAATTCAAGGGTATGTTTATTTATTAATTTGTTTAACAAATTAGGGACATCAAACAGAGAAAATCTCCAAAACGGACATTCACAGTTTAGTTGAACGTACTCATTGTTATTGATGATTTACATACAGGGTGTTCATTTGAAAACTTCTCACCACGGATTAGTCGAAAACCACTGATTAAAAGAAAAAACGCCAAGACACGTCAAAAGATTTGCCAAGGGGGACAACTTTTTAACCAAAAACCTCTTCACATCTTTTCACCTTTCAAGCAAGCTATTACTCGATACCCGTTGCCATTTAAAGTTTTCAAGAGAATGACTCTGGGGAGCCGAGGGTGAAAGGATGTGAAATAGTTTGTGGTTAAAAATTTGTCTCTACTGACAAATCTTTTGACATGTCTTTGAGTCAGTGGTTCTCAAGAAATCCGTCGTGGGAAGTTTTTAAATGAACATGTATTGGAAAATACAATGTTCAATTCAGTAAGAGGAATCATAAAACAGAGAAATATAACGCAGCTCACAAGGGAGTGACCAACATTCTGTTTTCTATCAAGTATTTAAACTTTAACATATCACTGGCAAAACTATCAGCAAATTCACCATAGTTGTTCAAATAACAAAGTTGATCGTAAATTTAATGTGAACATTTGCTTGAAATTCTGCATTGCTAACAATAACCTAATCATTTCAGGTATCTATATGCCAGATTGTCAATATTTTTCAAAGAAGACTTCTTTCTAACACTGGAAAGAAACGAATTATATGGACCAATTGATTTCCTAGCCAACTTTGGGGGCCTTCTTGGATTATTTACTGGATTCTCCCTTCTGTCCTTGGCAGAAATAGTGTATTTTCTATCTGTTAGAATCTGCTGCAATTTCAGGTTGCACAAATTTTGGACTGGGCCCAAAAATTAATCATATTGCACTTTTCAACCAAGTATCTAATTATTCGTTTAGTACAAACTCTGTAAAGCTATAGAAAGAAATTTACTTGGCACCGATATAAAACAATGGATTAAATACTTTTACGCGCGATTTTCTTAGTACCGCTCTTACGCAGTTTTACACAATAATTGCAAAAATCATATTCGTATTTTAAAACTTCGTCATATCAGCAACTTTCCACTACTGTCACTCATCACGCTTGCTATAACCAGTTATAATACACCTAGTCAATAAATATAATTTACTTTTTGTAATTAAGCAATTAGTACGTTTTCGATCTAAACGACAAAAGCTAACTTCGAAATACGTACCTATCCGCTAGGGGCAGATACCTTCATTTTCAACACGCTTGAAGTCCGAATAAATAGTCCGAATAAATAGGGTGTGGGCATCATTAGCATCACCATGTAAGTAGCTTCATCGGTTAACTACATCAACTCGCAAAAAAAGTCATTTCAAAATGCCTTATGGAATATCAAATAGTGTTGAACTTTTTCTGACCAACTGCACAAATAGTCCAAAACTACCCGAAACTGCCGCAAAAGTAAGTTTTGCATATGGAAATAAGACAACACGGTAGGTAGCTTTAAATGACTTTATTGTTTTTCGAAGTATTCTAGACGAAGATTAATACACATCTGCATGCGCCCTAACCAATTTTCGAAGCACTTATTCCACTCGTTTGCTGGCAGATCCAAAACGGCATTTTTGAATGCGTCAACTGCCTCATCTGGTGACTGGAACCTATGACCACGCAGTTTGTTTTGAATTTTCGGGAAAGTAAAGAAATCGTTAGGACTTAGATCGGGACTATATGGAGGATGGTCCAATAGTTCCACGTTTTCTTCCGTTAAATACTGCCTTGTTTTTTTGGCTGTGTGCGAGCTTGCATTGTCTTGGTGGAGGATGATTCTTCTTTCGGGGTTGATATTTCGAAGCTCGGTGATAACTTTTGGCAAACAAATGGTGGTATACCAATCCGCAGTAACAGTTCTTTTCTCATTAAGAGGAATTGTTGCACTATGACCCGATTTTGACACAAATGTCGCGACCATCTTTTTCGAGAACGGATGACTTTTGTAGGCTTTTATTCACCTTGGAACACCCAAACAGCCACTGTCGTTTATGTTCTGGTTCATAACAGTAAATCCACGACTGATCACCACTAGCAATGCTGTACACATTTTTTGAGTTTCCGGAATTGAAACGGTCAATCGTTTTTTGACACCCATTAACCCTGGCTGCTTTCTGCTTTTCAGTGAACAGGTGAGGTATCCAACGAGAAACTAATTTTCTTACTCCTAATTTTCAATGAAAAATTTTCTGAATTGAGGTCTTTGAGATCTTCAAGGGCGCCTCAATCTCGCGATATGTCACATGTGTATTTTCAATGATGAGTTTGCGCACAGCATCGACGTTTTCCTGGGTGACTGCCGTTTTTGGTGCACCCACCCTGGGATCGTCGCCAAGACTCATCCGTCCACGTTTGAATTCTCCATACCAAAGGGAAATTGTCGACTGATGTGGCGCTTCGTTTCCGAAAACAGATAGTAACTCAGCAAGGCATTCTAGTTGCGATAATTGTCTCTGAAATGAGTTATGGCGCGAAAATGTTCTCGGTTGAGTTCCATTTTTCTAATGACATGGTGACACTTTAAAATTCACTGTAGTGAGAACACTGCACGTATTGTTGTGAAACTTTGAATTTAAGTTTACTAAAGAGCGGGGTTAAGATTCAGAGCTGACGTTAGGTCCGCGTGGCCTACTATGTTTCTATATGCAAAACTTAACATAGCCACAAAATTATCGCCGCTGGCGTAATGGTGTAATAAAGGCTTGCAAATATTGCAGTCTTTCGGAAACCAGCAGTTTTCTGTAAAACAGCGAAAAACAAAAAAAAAATTAATTTCACTGAAACGGCTGACGGGATATCTGGGATTTTCTTACACGTGTTTTTTTTTTTATTTTTTGTCATCAAAAAGGTCTCTGCAATTTTTTTCCTAAATTGCTTTCGCGCTACAGCTTGCTGATAGTTTATGGGTGAGGGGCTTGCGGGGACAAGGGTGCGCGTACACATACTCGTATCACCAGCCGCCGCACCGTTGACGCGGACGATCCTCTTTTAGTATTCCGACGTCCTCAGTGTCCCACTCTCAGTGATAGGCCATTTCGAATACTAAGCTAGTTTGTAGTTGTGGCGTTCACCGACGTATGCACATTAATGAATTTTTGAAATTTATGCGTTTAAGTAGAGTACAAGATGCAGCAATTTCTCTTCAGCCGCTTGTCGATTGACTGGATAAGTGAGGTATAGTATTTTCATTGAGAATTTGAACGACGACAAAAAACCCAGAGCTGCAAAAAAGGTGTGAACGTAACGTAACATACGCCAACGCAAATATGTAAAGAATAGATAATGGCCGATGGTGATGGGCATTTGACAATGTCTTCTCTGCACACTCGCTGTGGCAACCAATAATAGTGCTCATTGGTAAAGTCCAAGACTTAATACAGTAGTATGCTCTGCTGTGTACAACTTACCTGCACAGGACTTCACACCTTTTTTTGTGCAGCTCAGGGATATTTTGCGTTTCCAAATATTTATAATGGAAGGACTATAAGTATGTATGTGTACATTTCAGAGTTGAGGTTATTGAACAGAAAAATGATAATAAAAAAATAATCATCCTGTCAAAATCGAAAATACACAAAATTGATGCATCTTCCGATAAATGGCTTGTATATAATTTCTTGCCTCCAATGAAATATACGGAATGAATATTTAACTTCAATTCTAAAATGTACACACACTTACCTCACTTGTCCTGTCAATCGACAAGCAACTGAAGAGAAATTACTCCACGTACCAAATCGCATTGACACCAAAAATTTGTTTATTCAGAAAAGTCGGTGAACGCCAAACTGACAAGCGAGCTCAGGGTTCGAAATTCAAGTGGACTATTACTGAATAACAATAACCCCACCATGTAGCAATAGATCGTCTACGTCATTTTAGCAAAAAATTTGCTAATAACTTTTTTGATGGCCCGAAACTTGGAAAAATTCGCGTGTAAAAAAATCTCAGATATCCTCAGCCGTTTCAGCAATTTTTTGGGTTTCTAGCTGTTTTACAATGGGGAAAGTTTTGTAGAATATTTCAAAGAGCCTGCTTGTTTGGAACAGATAAGCAGAGGAAAGAAATTACTTATCTTTTGAACATGTTGGCAAGCTGGAATTCTTAACAATAGTATTGATGCATCAACACTATATTTTTATACAAAAATAGCAGTTGAATATTTCAAGCTGGCGGCAACAATTTCTGAAATGCATATTTTACTGTCACTCATTTTTCTAAATATATTATGATACTTTATTTTCAAGCCCTTATAAGAGCTATATAACGCTGGGATTTAAAATCACGGTCTTTGAAATTGGCGAACTGGCAGGTTGTTGAAGTTGGGGGTTTTTGTGCATTGAGTCGCTTATAACTCTACTACTAATCATCAGAAATGTAGAGCATATCACTATTTTTATTTTGGAAGAGTGTATCTGCTTGTGCAATAAAACATGGCACATACAAACAATTTCTTTAAGTAGAATATTCGATTACATATTCGAATAGACCCTTCCAAGAGAGCCTAATTACTGTTAAAATGTCTTGATCATTGGCTAAGCGACTCAATGTAGAAAAACGCTCTGTTTTGATAGTCCGTCAGTTCTTCAAAGACAGTGATTTCATATTTTAGGATCATAAAGTACTCATAAGTAGCGCTAGCTCTATCACACGACTCCATATCCCACTTCCAAAATGCTCCAAAATGGCGCCTAAGCGCCATCTTAAAATTTTCAACTGCCATTTTAACGCTAAGATTCAGTAACCATTTCATCACCCCGAATTTCCGCATTAAAAAATAAGCACGAGGAGAGCCTTTCTGAACAGCACTGTAAATTCAGTAAGTATATACGTTCTTTTCAGGTTAGGGATATGCTTTCCCTCACGTGCGGGTATAAAAGTACAACAGCAACAAGCAACTGTCAAATGAACTGAATGAGGTTATTTTTTTTGTAATTTATAGTACACAATAAATCACTTTTCTATAAAGTAGATGTTTTTCTAAATAAGTCAACATATTAGGGGAGATTGAGCCTACCCTTAGGTTGACAGTGAGTACAGCTTAGTGGTTCTTTTTACTTCCCATTCCTGCTGGAAGAGGAAGTGTAATAATACCGAAATAGATTAAATATAATAAATACACTGCCTCGCAAAATTAACCGGACAAACAAAATTTTGTTCAAATTAAATTTTACTTACAATTTCGTTAATTTTTTGTCAATTTGTAGGTAATTTCATTGTAATCATTATTGACTGACCATTTTGCAAAACATGAAAATATTTGTTGTAATACAGTGCCTAACTAAAAGGTGCGTTTTGCCCTAAACTTCTGAACACCCTGTGGAGACACTGGATTACTGAATAATGTGTCTCCGTATGAGAATTTTGAGCCTCAACTATTTCTTTATTTGATTTATGACAATATCTCAATTACTGAAGTACGAGTAGTATATATGCTGGTTTGAAGAAAATCATGCAAAACATAGCAATAAACAAGAAATTGTTTCAAGCAGGCTTTGCCGATCATAAAATTCTTTTAAGTAGGCTGTGTCTGTTAGATTTTTTATGGCATGTCAAAAGGACTGCTGTCAAGCAATAACCAACAAAAATGACACTGGTACAACTAGCGCAGTTGTAGCTTTACAAGGTGATGGTCGTCCTATTCGGTAATCACAGAAAGGCTTGCCGTTCCACCCAGTACTGCATTGGATGCGATATGAAGATTTAGCGAAACTGTGTCTTTTTTTTCACTCAAGAAGACCTGGACACGGAAGACGGTAAGCAACAAACGCAGTTGAGGATTGACTTCTGAGACTTCAAGCTCATCGACAAAGGACAGATCCTGCTACAGCTTCGAAAAAATTACGAAATAGATTTCCACTGGACTGAGAATATATCGCAATGTTATTAAAAATATGATCTAGTAGTTGCTTTTAAAAAAAAAATTATAACTGTTGTAATATTAGTTGATTTCTTTTTACATCAAGACTCCTTATGTGCAACCGAAACAAGACTATTGCCATCGTTTTCATTTCTACCAATCACAAACGCGTGCGTGGAATTACAAATGGTTTCTAAATGAAAAATTGTATGACAGCACCTGTCACCAGTTTTTTCGCTCTTACCCTCGACAAAACTTGACAGCGGTTGTCACCAAACATTACAATACCTCTCTATTCGTCATTGTCCGTCAGAGCGGTCCGTCGGACCTTCGCTCTTAAAGTATCGTAGGTCGGTAGGTCTGTCAAGTCTGGTTGCCTAGATACCAGACGAAGTCAGGGAGAAAGAAAGGAAGGAATGGGGTGAAGTGCGCCGTTTAAAGGGTTGCCTTGCTATTGTTAACTGGTATTCGGTTATTTTAAATTAATCCAAAAATTAATTTAGGAATTTGTGTGTGCCATTTTGGTTGGACCTAGAATTGCATGATTTGATGTTGATCACTGTGCAAGCCGCGGTCTTGTGTGCTTGCGAACTTGCTCGACTGTGTGGTCTACTGACTGACGCAACAGAGGGTTGCTGTGCGATTCCGCTTGACTATAACGTAACTGCGCCTGATGTTTGATGTAGTCCCTTAGGTAAGGGATGACGAAATCTCTGTGAAGGGTCTCGTTGGAGACATA